TGTAATGATTTGGCTATACGTGATATGTCAAAAATCAATGGTCAGGTTATTGGTCTTGTACCTCGTGGAACTTGGTATAAAGTAAATCCTCATGATATTCTTAATGGTGATATGTCATTACCTACTACACGAGATAGTCTTAGTCCTTACGTACTAACTAAGGATATTGACCCTAATTTCAGCATTTCTCCTATCGATATGCGAACTATCGATCCAGCTTCTTTTAATAAGATTTTCAACGAGTCAAATGACTTGGACGATCATTTTATTATTCAGATGCATGTCGAAGCAGATATGTATGCGCCTTTGAAGTCAATTAGTACCTCTTACGACACATTTGACGGTGACGAAGATGGTACTTTGGAAGTTTCACATTCTTAAAATTTTAGGTAGGTAGATTTCTACCTACCTATTTCTTATTTATTATGGTACATTTTATTCTAGAAAATACAGATATATTAGTACATAGTCAATCTATAGTAGGTGCACTAATTGGTGCTGGTGCTTCACTTCTTGGTGGTCTTTTAGGTAATAAATCGCAAAAAGATGCAAATAAGGCTAATGCTCAGCAAAATGAAATGATGATGCGTTTCAATAGTGAGGAAGCCGAAAAGACACGTAAATTTAACTCAGAAGAAGCTCAAAAGCAGCGTGATTATGAGACCAAAATGTCTAACACAGAAATGTCTAGACGTGTTGCCGATTTGCGTGCAAGTGGTTTTAATCCCGCTCTCCTTGGTGCTACTCCGTCGGGTGCATCTACACCGACTGGTGCAACCGCTTCTGCTTCTAGTGCTTCTGCTGGTAGTATGACACCAATGCAACCTGTTACTGGTCTTGCTGACTCTATTTCTCAAGCTGGTTTAACTGCTTCTCAAATTGAGGTTAACCGTGCTCAGGCTGAAAATCTTCGTGCTAATGCTGATAAGACGGAAAAAGAAACATCTTGGATAGACCAAATGAACGGCTCACAATTAGAAATTAATGAATCAACTATACGTGTTAATGGTTCTACTATTAGTTTAAATGAAGAAAAGAAAAAGCAATTAGACCAGTTAATTAAAGAGTCTGAAAGTGTTATTAAGGTTAATGAGGAAAAGATAAATGAGATAAAGCAAAATGTTGCCTCTATGTCTGTGCATTCTCAGGTTGAAATGCTTACATATCTTCTCAATACACGTGAGGTTGAGGCAAAAATTAAAGAACTCGCTTCTCGTGCTAATCTTAATTATGAGAATGCACGTGACCTTGTGGCTACACGTTCGGCTCGTATTCTTGGTTTACAAATGTCCGCTTATTCTTCCCTTAAGCAAGGTGAATTATACGACTCCGAAGCGGGTAAAATTAAGATTGATAACCTTAATGGACAACTAGATTTTGATATACGTAACGCAAATAAGGATTGGGAAACGTTTCGCTATCGTGCGGAAAGTATTATACAACCTCTCGGTGATGCCGTTGGTACTATTACCCAATTATGGGACATTAAACGTGCCTTTACGGGTCAGCATGAAACCGCGCGCCATAATCGTACTGTTGAAAAGGAAACTAATCGTCATAATCAGGCTATGGAACAAAACGAGTCTATTAAGCGTGGTAATGAGGCTATTCGCAATGATAATGATTACCATTTCCGTTCTCGTCGTGATGCACGTGAGCATGAAAAACACGAGGCTTACAAATATGGACAATGGTATGATGCGGACAAATGGAGTAATAGAAACCCTATGACAAAGCGTTTCCGTTAGTTTGTGCCTCGGTTTTAATACCGAGGCTTTACTACTTGAATACTTATATACAATTAGACACAGATAAAAATATGTGTCCTGACTATGTCAGTACGTTAGTATAACCTCTAAGTGAGGTGGTGGAGTGTTTGAGGTTCAAAAATGCCTCAACTCCCCATTGACAAAATAAAATCCAAAATAATGTTAAAAAATTTGTTTATTTCAAATAAACTATTTATCTTTGCACCATGTTAAACAAATAAACAAATAGCTATATGAAAAAGTATTCATTTAAAGTTAGGTTTCATGTCTTACATTATGACACTAAAGCCTATTGGTTTGACGAAATCGGTGTTGATTATAAAGATGCTCGTAAACGACTTGCCAAAACCTTGTTAAAAGAAACTGCTTCGGGTTTCACTTACGAAGTAGAAGATATTTATGTTGAATAATTAATTAAATGAGATTATGCTTAAACCAGTTCATAAAATTACGTGTTACCGTTATCTATTTGATAAACGTCCTTATGAGACCCTATCTAATGACTTAGAAACTGATTTGGTTTCTTTGTCTTTAAAGTACCCTATAATTTCAATACATATATATATTGTTTAGGTGTATATCGTAAGAAATATAGATTCTTGTTAAAACTTTATAAGCATGGAGTCAGCAATAAAAATCAAAAATAATAGTTCTACGTGGAACGTCAACCAACCCCTTTACATGCGTGTTGCACGTCCTTATACTGAGGAGTGGACGCGTCAAAAACAAAATGATTGGTTCTTCCGTTGTCAAAAAGAGTTTGAAAATATTCAGGCTAAAGGTGGTTCTTGTTGGTTTCCTACATTAACTTATAATAATGACAATCTACCTCGACTCTATATTGGCGATTATCTTGATAGTATCCCCTATCGTGTTAGTAGCAATAGCCGATGCGAAGTTAGTGCCTATACGTCGGAAGGATTTCGAGATATTCTTCCTGACGATTACATACAATGTTTTGACGTTCTTCGCGTACGTCGCTTTTGTAAAACTCTCCGTGAACTTTTAACGCGTGCGGGTTATAATACAAAAGGTATGCAATATATTTGCTGCCCTGAGTACGGTAAAAATACTAAACGTCCGCATTGGCACATGTGGTTAGGGATATATGATGATATCCCCGAAGAAGTTATGCTTGATTGCCTCCGCCGTGCTTGGCATTATGGCTTTGTCGGTCATGGACGTCAAGGTCTAAAGGTAAAAAATACTTACGCTTGCCGTTATGTTACAAAATATGTCGGTAAAGACATGTATTTCTCTTGTGAACAAAAGTTTCCAAAGTTAAACCTATCACTTAGTGATGTAATTAGTTTACAAACCTCGTATGAACCTAAAGAACTTCGCAAAATGTTGCGTAATTATATGCCTTATATGGTTATTTCCCATGGTCTTGGCTCTTGTTATATGGATAATTTCCTTAATTGTCTCTCTCATGAGCATCTTATTCCATTTCTAACAAAAGAAAAAACTATTGCATTGCCTCTGTCACAGAGTAACCAGTTTACATTACCACAATATTATATAAATAAGTTTTGTTATGAATTCGATAAAGATTTATCCAAATACTTTGGTAAAACTATTTGCATTCTTACCGAGTTGGGCGAGAAGGTTTATAGTAGAAAACTGGGTTTGCGCCTTAAGGCTACCCAAGACAAATTGGCTTCTCTTACACCCCAAATATGTGGTGATTTGTATTCTGATATATTCAGCGTTGATACAGAGAGGCTTGCATATTACCTTACCTATTTTCGTTATCTTCCCTTTCTCGGTGATGATTGCACCCCTGATAATGTGTTTAGATTTGCTCCTGAATTGGTTTGGTCTATGCAATTTGATAGAAAGCGAAATAAATATGTAGTGCAAAAAGAGTATGATGATACTTTAGTATATATCGACAATGAAATCAGTAGTTCTTCTATGGCTTATCTTATGGAGGAATATGCTAATGATTTGTTTAGTAATGAAATGCCTTTGCACCCTCATAATTACGGTACTTATTCAGACAATGAGATTTGGAAAGACTATGAGCGTTCTGCACGTGCTTATGATAGTGTAATGAATCATATTTTCACCTCAAAAGAAATAGATAAAAAGAAGAAGCGCGAAAGCGTGGCACTTTCAAAGTTCTTATGTCTAACAAAAATGCCACACCTTGTTACTAATTATGAAAGTATTTAAAATTGTGCTTGGTTTTATTATTGACATTTTCCCAATTATTGAGGGTCTTGTTGAAAGCCTGAAAGCATCTAAAAAGAAGTAGTATGAATTACAATGAAAACGCTATTAAAAACGCTTGCAATCTTATTGCAAAATATGAAGGTCTTGCCCTTACCCCTTATACGTGTCCTGCTGGTTGTCGTTCTATTGGCTATGGTCACAGAATATTGGCTAATGAGCACTTTACAACAATTACTAAAGACGTTGCGAAGTCCCTCCTTTACAATGATTATATTACTATTCTTGATAGGGTACATGCTATTTTCCCTCGTATATATGGCACAGAACTCTATGCTTTAGCGTGTTTAAGTTATAACGTTGGTTTAGGTTGGACGAGTTCTAACAAAAATTTAGGCAGAGAAGTAAACGCTCTTAATAAGTGGTATGCCTCAGGGTCAGCCACAGAACAAGATATATTGCGTAATGTAGCGTATTGGATGAAAAAGTATTGCCAGTATAAAGACCCGAAGGATGGTAGATATAAAGTCCTTAGCGGTTTAGAACTCCGTCGGCAATCAGAAGTTAATTTTTTAAAAGGACAATTTGAGTTCTATTGTCCGAAAAATACAGAACAAATTGAAATATGAGTTTTAGAAAAAGGAAAAACCCAGTTCTTGGATTCTCTTCTCCTGAGGTTAGGATTGTAAATCGTACTGTTGGTGAAGATGAATTTGTTTCTACTGAAATACCTTCTACTGTTGAAAAACTACCCGAACCATCACCAACCTTGGATGATTTGCTAAAGGCTGGTGTTTCGGTTAAAGATGTTCCTACGGATGGTATTTTGGATAGTTATGATGAAAATGATTATCCTATAGCCGCTATAGAGGATAAGGTTGTTGAATCTAATAATAAAATGAAGATTAAAAAGAAAGGAGATAATGAGTAATGTCACAAAGTCTTGTACCAGATATTAAGCTTTCTCGTGGTAATAATAGAAAAAATAAGTTTAATATTTCATCTAATACACACACTACTGCGGAGGTCGGGTATTTGCAACCTACATTTAGTAAAATGCTTTTGCCTGATTCTGACCTCAAATTAAAGGTTAACGATTTTGTTCGTATGTCATCACTTGTTGTTCCTACATTTGGTGAGTTGTCTCTCCGCCATTGGTTTAATTGTACTCCTCTTAGTTCTCTTTGGTCTTGTTATGGAGCATACATGACAGGAGACCAATATACCGACTTGGACTCTCAGACTGGAACATCTGTTAGACGTTTTATGCCAATGTTCTCACTTAACGAGTTGTTTGGCATTTTAAAGACTGGACTTTATAACGACACTACAAAAGCACCTTTGTATTATGGTAATTTGACTTATTTTTTAAAGAATAGGGAAGTAGTTACTTTTGATGAATGGACGAATTATTATTCATCTCAGTCTAATGTTCTTTCATTGAATACTTTTGGTTTTGATACTGACTCTGATACTGGTTTATATCCAGTTAATCAGGAAAATGTAAAACCAGCAACTAATTATTATCGTTGTCGTATTCCGTTTGATTTCCCTGTTCTTGGTTGGGTTATGCGTAATACCGATAATTTCTATGCGCTCATGAAAGATAAGAACGGTAATAGTGGTTTCCCTAGTCCTTCTGATTGTCCATATATTGTTATGTATAACCCGCTTAGAAAGACTGGAACCGTTTCATCCTCTCTCCCATCTTCATCAGTTCAGATTACAGATATTTATTTTACACCTCTTACTACACGTATGTTCCAAGGTGATTCGACTGCTTATTTGTATAAGAATGGTTGGATATATAAACTTACTGAGTCTGGTTCTGATAGTAAGTATCATCATTATACTGGAAACTCAGAAGGTTGGTATCTTCATTCCGATGATAGTTATTTTACTGGTAAACTTGGTGAAGTATTCGATTTTATCGCTCCTGCTTATGCATCTAATGCCGTAAGTGGTAGTCGCTTTGATTATGGTGTTACTTTGTCAAGACGTTTTAAGCGTTTGCGAAAACTCTTTGTTGGTCTTGGTTATCAGTTTAACCCATTTGATACACAACCTCAAACACCTTGGAAATTGATGCATTATTATAAGGCATGGTTTGATATGTTTTTCCCAAAGCGTGACACTCAGTATTATCAGACACCTTTGTCTCGTGTTGTAAACTTCATGAGTTATCACGGAAATTTCATTTGTCCTAATATCTTTGATAAGATAATCTCTTTGCGTCGTTCTAATTCTGTTTATGAGTATAAATTTGAGGCTGATTTTCTAGACATGCTCTTTGCTTGTGCCGATGCTAAATATGTTTTGCCTATTGATTATTATACATTAGCTGACCCCGAACCTCAGCAGACCGAAGGAACACGTAACGAAAATATTAAAGATAATGCTCGTGTTAATGTTATTGGTTCGTTAGGTGCTCAAAATCATGGAGAGTCTGATAACACTGATAGTTATTCTACGTTTGGAGATGGTGTTATAGTAGGTTCAAATAACCAGTCTATTGGAGGTCGTGTTGCTTTTACTGGTGGTTCTTCAAATGAAGTATCAATTGATGGTTTAACCATTAAACTTGCCGAGAAGTTAACGAAGTTCCTTGTTAAAAAGCGTATTGTTGGAAAGTCAATTTCCGATAGAATGCGTGCAATGTTCGGAGTTGTTGACCCTCACGATAAGTCAC